CAGCCCTTTGACGACACTATCGTCCCCGTCAGATAGATTCGCCACAAAACCAAGCGTTTCCTCAGGACATTTTGATGAAGTGACACAAAAGTAGCGGCCTGCAATGCTTCGTACATTTCCGGAAAACATGGGGATCGTTTTTTGAAAGCGTAAGAAGTGGCAGGAACTGGCGCCTAATGCACCTAATATGCTCATTAATTAAAAGTAGAAAAAGTAAGCCTTGTTGGAGTAAAGATAATTAAACAACATAGGACGCACAGCCAGAAGAACTAAAACATAGTATTTCAAACGTGTATGACACCCAAGAAGCAAGGAAGGTGTGTATGTGAGGAAATTTGAAAATTGCTTCTAATTTTAGTTTTTTGCATTTAGAAGGGACCATTTTTGAGATCTTTTTAATTTATTTTGATGCATACAATAAGTGCTAGTGGCGTAAGCCAACCTATGCTGACGGGGTAAGCAATTGGTGCAAACCGCTCTCAATTATTAACAGACGCCCAGTTTCTGCTGACATGCTACTATCGCGTTGCCCGATGCTCGACTGACTCGTTGTCCGAATCCCAGATGTGCAACCCGCCTATCATTGTTTTATGACGCCGACTACACAAGAAATGACGTTGTAGTGTTCCTGTCCTTGTTGATAAATACTCTTCCATTTTTGAAAGTTTATTTCAAGCTTTCATTATGCGTAAGGGTTTTTCGCGGTGCAAATTGTTGTTCTACTCTAAGACACTTTTAAGGTGCAGTTAAAAGCTGACAGATTTCTCCTCTGTATTGTTCAGGCTACACTGAGGCACTCAGTGTTTAACATTTTTCATGCCTGTTACACTTAACAGTGGAGCCATTCTTTGACAGTCATCGCTTTTTCATCACTATTCAGTTAACCCACGCTCTTTGACACTTAATTCGGAGCCTTCCGACGGAATGCAAGAGGATTTCGCCAAAGTCATAATGTGCAAAACTGATGAGGGTGGGGCAAATCCACCAGCCAACATAACCTGGAAGCACCTGAGTCCACTTGGTGCGATCGAGCCGCTGACCAACGACATGCACCACATCCAGGAGGTGTCGCAGGCCAGACGAGGGGGCTTCGTCACTCGCTCCAACCTCACAGTTACCGCACGTCGGGAGTTAAATGGCCACAGGATTGAGTGTTCTGTCGAGAGTCCCGAACGCATGCTTCTCTTTCGTCAGACTGAAACACTGGAGGTGTTCTGTACGTCTGCCTAACCACGTGTCTTTCAAACCCTACTATTCTTGTGTACTTAACCTCTGAAACGAAGGAGTTGAGATTCCTTTACCGAACACCTTCATCCTCGACATTTAGCCTTAAGCAGGGAAGCGCTTCGGTCTCATTGTCAACATAAAATATGTGGAGATTTTGCAGGACGCAGGATTGCATGGAATGAAAAAATCTGCACTGGCATCTCTGCTGTTTTTTACCTTATTATGCTGAAAAGCGGATGAGGGAAATAATAAAGGCCTAGCGTAAACCAGCTTATCTATAACAAACAAGCGCTCATCTCGATGAATAGAGAAATCCAAGAAAAGGTGCGAAGAAAAAGGACGCATGTCCTATTTGCAGGAAATCAGGCAATTGAAAGTGTTTAAAGCAAAAAAATAATGTACGTGCTGTATGCTTACGAAATTTGTTTTATCGTTTCTCGCACCCTTTGTTACGATCTAAAATCAGAATCGAGTCTGTAAGACCAGCAAGGAATATACCGTGCCAGTCTCTGTCCAGCAAGGGCTTTCCAGTTGCATTCAAAATCATTGAATGCCTATATATTACATGCAGCTGATGAAATAGTGAATTCGCGTCGGGCAAGCACAAATGTGTTCCCTCAACGATTAACTGGAAAAAGGTATCTCCTAAGCTCTCTGTAAGTCCACAATTGCTGATAGAAGCAAACAAGCGAGTTACAGGAAGCAGTTCAGAAGAAGAAGATGCGATGACTGGAATAAGAAGTTTATTGGCCTGAGGTTTCGGATTCTCACTCGAACCCATCATCGGAGACAGTTGCAGATAAAGGTAACAGAGGCACGAAGACTGCAGTATTTATTGTACGTAGCTGTTGTGGGGCCACATGCGTACTGTTATTAACAACTCTCGTGCCCACCGCCTGGTGTCGTAATTAAGGCGATGATGGCTCGTCTGTCCGCGTCCATGTCGTTAATTGCCGCCATCTCATCACCCGTGCTGGATGTTGGCGTGATGATTACTCGGTCATTTGGTCCGCTGTCACCAGGATAGTTGAACGTCTGCGCCCTCCACACGCAACTGCGTTCGTGACCGATCGGCTAGTTACTGTTAGAATTCAGTACTTGCGACGTGTTTGTCGCTTTCTTGAACACTTTGCTTTTAGGCCACCGAAATCTTTGCGACAAACGAGGACATCAAGAAAGGTCTGCTGGTTGTCGTATTCCTCCTCCATCGTAAAATGATTGTCCGCGAAGACGACGTTGAGACCTTTTTTGAAGGTCAGCACCTGATCCCGTTCGACGACGACAAAGGTGCCATCTACATAGAGTCCGGTAAGGGCACAAGGGCGCTATACCGGCGCGTTGAGACGCACTGCAGTGATACGGAAGACCAGGTTGCTGACTTGCAATATCCTCGACGGGTACTGAGAGTCAATGGCTATCAGCGCAGCATTGCCCATCAATACGTACGCAGACGAAGCCAGAAACCAAACCCAATCTACTCTAAATTTTGGCGAGCACTTCTGTAAGTGAGGAACGTCTCGGAAGCCGTCAGTCGCCTACTCATTCCACTTGGAGTCGGATTTGCACACAGGCCGAAAGCAACCATCAGGCGCCAAGTCATAAGGCCGAAATATCCGCTGTCACGGCAGGAAACGTCTGGAGTTGTTCACCGGATCTGGTACAGTTGTGGACAGAGCAACTACGTCGAGGAAGTTGGGAGATTACTCCGGACGCGCATGGCTGAGCCCGCAGCAGCGGTGAGGAGGAAGGACGCCAGCTCTTAGGTGGCGGCTCATTTCGCGGAACCCGACCATATTTTAAAATTCCAAGAGACCGAAATCCCCGCGAGAGCTAACAACAGCGTGGGTCGCGAGCTGCTCGAATCATGGTTCTGAGGCTCGCAATCCACCGACAAGCGCAATGACCTCCCGGGACCATAGTCAGTGCTGAGACATTCCCCGAGCAGGGGAATCAGTCACGTGTGGAGGGCGCGGACGCTCATCTATCCTTGTGACAACGGACCAAATGGTCGAGTAATCATCACGTCAACATCCAACACGGGTGATGAAATTGAGGCAATTAACGACTCGGACGCGGACTGACGAGCCATCATCGCCTTAATTACGACGCCCGGCGGTGGGCACGAGAGCTGTTAGTTATAGTACGCATGTGGCCCCACAGCAGCTACGTACAATAAATGCTGTAGTCTTTGTGCCTCCGCTACCTTTATCTGCAACTATATCCGATGATGGATTCGAGTGAGAATCCGAAACCTCAGGCCAATAAACTTCTTATTCCAGTCATCGCATCTTCTTCTTCTGTAGTCCACGATTGTGAGAGGGCGAGAACTCTCCTCACCATGAGATCGTTCGGCAGAATCACTACGTCAGAATGGGCAAACATTAAGCAGATTTTATGAGTCATTTTCTTGATGTTGTATTTTTTGATTGTACTGGAGTGCTCTATTAGCTCTGTTCTTTACGTCCCTAAGTTTTTTTACCGTCATACTGACAGTTGCTCCGAACAGCGTACGGATACACCCGGTCCCTACTGGTGGAGTACGCGAAGGCGACTGGGTTCAGCTGACTTGTGCGGTCTCCGTCTCCCATCCGCCAGCAACAGTACGTTGGTTCGAATTTCCCGCCAACACTAATGACGCCTCCTCTGGGGGTCAGGAGATTACAGATCTCGCCCAAATTGACATGGTGAGCAAACATAAGAAATATATGAAAGTGGAACTTATCACATGAATGTAAAAGACAAACTCGATGGTTCGAGTCCGATTGGTAATTGTTATATAGGTGTTGAATTTGGCCCCATTGCAGGCGGTGATATAGCGAGACAACATTCGTGCGGGTTAATTTATGGTTATGGAAAGAACAAAACAGGCCGGATTACTAATTTTCTAGCCTAAGCTGTCACACTTCAACCGTATAGTGGGACCACCTGGGAGCCGAAGGGTTTCAGGGAACAGTAGAGGATCACTCGATTTCAACTCCCCCTGGCACGGGCTTAAAGCTTTTGTCTAAACTTCACGACTTCAATTAATAGATCAATCAACTTTCGTATGCCCAGCTTTCCTTTACATTTAAGCATTGTAACCATCGTTCCTTGGCAAAGAGGATAATATCAAAAATTCAATTTTCGAAGAAAAACATTCAAAATAAAGACACCCCTTTAATGCTAAAAAAACTGGCGCCTTGATGACGTTTAGACTTAATACTCACTAGCACGTCAGATGGAAGAACGATTAAGAAGGACCCACTCAAGATTTATTTTGGCCCAACCGTGAAAAACTTGGCAGCATAGGTGGGATTTGAACTCACGACAGCAAGGGGAAGATTTGTGAAGAGCCAACGTTCTAGCTACTTGAATTACGTATTCTGATTTTTATTGTATAACTAGATGGTGACTATTTACTTTCAGCCTTGTCTACGTGTCAGTTAGTTGACTCATGTTAACTATAGAAAGGTTGGCGGAGGAAGATGAGATTGTCGTTTGGAGCAGCAGACACGGTGGGACAAGGCATAAAGTAGATGGAGTAACAATGTCGGGGAGATCATCCTCGAGACGGTTCGCGCTCACGACCTCTTTGCGAGTACCGCGTTGGATTTGGACCATCTTCACCCCTTCAAGATGCAACCTGGAAATGGTCTTTAAGGAGGTTCACGTGGCCAACGGAGCCTGATATACTGAAGGAAGACTTGAGCAATGGTCCCTGCTGAAGTGGACTAGATGGCCCAGGTCCCAGGACGGAAAGTCAGCAAGGTGTCACGGAGAGATGGATACACCAGAAGATAAAAGTGCTTGTGTGGTGGTAAGGAAAAATGGCCCGGCGGTCGACCAAAATATTGAATGCCGTTAAGAAGTCGGGAGCAAGGATGGCACAGGGGACATAATCAGTCATGAAGACCCAGAGGAGGAGAAGTTGCAAGTCAATCCCGATATGAGGGAGCAGGAAATTAAGGTGAGACGAGTGATAAGGCGTCGACAGCGTGGAGGAAAAGGTCGGAGTTGGGGCACTGACAGTCGGTTCCCTTTTGAAAGTATGACATCGAACTGCGCGTTATTATCAACCAAGAAACTTCTGCCATTTTTGTTGTTGCGGAAGTAAGAGGATACTGAGACGATTGCCTGCACTAACAGCAGGATCAACAAGTTCCACGTGTCGATTCCTCTTGAAGAGGAATAAGTCGTGATAGATGCAGCAGCAGGCGCTGAGACCAGAGGGGACAGGATGCTAGCAAGCAGTGGCTGTGCTGGAACAGAGCGCTAGTCTAGGCTTTGTCTGCCGGATAGAGACGTCGGTGAGCTCTGGAATGAACAGGAGTAAGCATGCTGTTGAAAGGAGTCTGTTTTAGAGGCAAACCTTCCTATTTCTGTGTTCAAGTCCGCGAGAGATCATGAAGGAGAAGCCGGGGAAGTTGGACGCGTGACAAATGAGGGTTTGACAAAATTGTAAATCACCATCAACCGCCCGGCAATCTGGATGATGTGGGCGACCGGGAGAAAGCCTGAAGTGGGTATGAAGATTGGTTAAATTACGATGGGTCGACAATGAGGAATTTCCCAAATAAAAGCAGGGAGACAGAGCTAGCAGGTCAGTCTTTGCTACAGCGAGGGAGCGTCCAAGCGGCTCTGAAGTAGGTGGCCGCAGAATGTTCGACCAGACGGAGAGCTGGCCATTGGTGTTGTTTGTCTGCTCGAGGTGTAAGCGTGTACCGGAGTCATGTCCGGCTGCGGTAAACCACTGAGGAAAAAAATATCTTTCAACATCGCAGTGTCGGCAGGCCGAAAGCTGAGTAATACTCGGCACAAACGGTCAACTGGCGACGGGAATTTGGTTGCTGTCAAGTAGACTGCCACAGTCCGATGGGCTGCCTGTG